TCCGATTTGCGTCATACGACGCTCTGCAACCAATCAAAAAACAGGATTCCGATGATACGAAGCAAAATCCATCGGAATCCTGTTTTCTGATTGATTACAGAGCGTCGTACAACGCAAATCGGATGCAGTGTGAATCCAGCATTACTCTAGAGGTTTGTTCGCATCGCTTACTCCAAATTAACCCAGAGTGCACTTGGCTTACCGGAGCTGCGTTCAGAAACTTCACCTTGCGGTGAATGCTAGTGATTGCTAGGAGTCTGTGTGAGTGAAATGATAGGGATAAGGTACTCTCTCTGGTGTGTACATTTCTGAACGACCTAGCCAGAGGAAAATGGCTGAGCGTAAAAAACAAGCACTTGATATATGTACTAGCTAGTGAACTTTCTATTATATTATCTTAATTTTAGCGAAACATGTAAATATATACATGATATGACTAATTTAATTAATCATTTTGATACATATTGTACGGGAGTAGTACACCATTCTTTATGCATTGCCGAAATTAAGATAATTTAATAGACACTTACTAGTTAATACGCGTATCAAGTGTTCCTGTAAACAAGGCCAATAACCTCTAATATTATAAATGCAATCAAGTTAGACATTATATTCAATTAATTATAATTACGTTTAAAGATAAATATTTTGCAAACAAATTGATTTATCAAAAAATACTATACAGTTATTACACTTTAACGGGACTTCATACGCAACATGATGAAAAAACCTTTATTGTACTTCATCGTAAATTATAATCGATCGAAGTAAAATATATTTTACTTAAGGCCTTGGCACATAGAACTTACTTTCAGGATTCCACAATATAATTTGATTTTCATTATTAAATTGCATTAATAAATTCTTATTTGTAATCTAAAAGTATGATCCAATCAGCGCGACGAATCACAAAACGGTTGCAAAAGTGCTGAGTCTGCTGAACGCAGCCTATTTTTCGCTTCCCGCGCTTTGTGTGCCAACTCGATCGAGAGACTTTCCACCTAACAAAAGAGCAGGGTGCAAAAGTCTCCCGATCGGGAACACCCGACACGTTTCTGAACGGGTCACCTAGGTAACGCTGAGATACTCTCAATCATGGTATAAGGATAAGGGTATGCTCACGCGCATGCGACCAATCAAAATTGTCGAAGTGTGACGTCACACAACAAGCGGTAAATTTAAAACTGCTGTTTCCAACCAACTTATGTTAGCAGCATTCTCGTCAG